GAGCAGTAAGATAGACATAGACCACTGCATTTCAATAGTCCGTGTATCTGCTACTCAGAGTAGGGTTCCTGTTTGTTGTGTGGGTTTAGAGAAAGGGAAGGGAAGAGGAGGCGCATCAAATCCCTGATGCAGCTCCCTGGATGTTGCGTTTTGGGTCACCTTACTTCCTTAGGCCTTCAGTAGCAAATGAGGCTCATAATATTTTGCTTTAATATGTTAAAGATGAAGTTTAGTTCAAATTTCTGTACAGTGCCTTGCAAGAGTCTCATAAGTATGCCAACATTTGGTGACTAGCTGAAAAGGAAAAGATGATTGATGTCTAGAAGACCAATAAAGAAAAAAGCCCCAAAGCTCTCCATTGTGAGTCCAGATAGATTTTTAATTTCCCAGCAAGTTCACGGTGAGGAAACAAAAGTTGCTGAAACTTGCATCTAAATAGCATAGTTTGGAATGTATCTGCAATCGGAAGAGGTATTAACAAAGATTAAACATTGAATGTAGGTATAATTCACCAACAGGAAGTTTTTCTGTGTAGGACAGTTGAAGGCAATTTTATAGGAGTCTCTGTTTTTGTGCAAGATTTCCTTCCATGTGTACTATCTAGAACTGAATGGCACTGGACAGATGACCCAGTTTTAGTGTCAATTCTTTTTTTTTTTTTTGTCAAAATGACAGGAAATACACACTGGACATCTGAAAACAGTTCAGTAAAGTTTCAACACTACAACCTATTGCTACATTGTAGTTTATTGCACATTATGATTATTTTTTTAAACACTTTTTTAACACTGGTTTGTCTTAAACTTGAATCTTGCCTCATTGTCTGATACAATAATCTTTGATGCAAGGTTGTTTTTTTAATTAAAAGTTATTTCTATATATATATAGATCCATATATGTGTGTTGTATATGGTCTGAATTGGATGGCCTTTTAGAAGTGGAGTGCTGGCTTTCGTGCTTTCTCTTGGCACAGAGACCTGCTCGGCCCAAGCGTGGCTTTGCAGACACCCTGGCGTGGCAGTGGCACTAAGCTTTGCTGTCGTACTCACGTCGCACTGGTGCTTGGGAGACTTCAGGTTCCCTCCAGCACCTAAATTTGGAGGTGAGCTGTTCCACCTTTCGTCCTGCATGTGCGGCTGCTGCTGCTGGGAGAAGCTTTCTGAATTTAAATGCCTCCAACGCCTCCAGATGTGTCGCCCTCCACGCAGAAGGCTGACCCGACCAGCTCTCACCCAGCTTGCTGTAAGGTCAGGGCTTCCTGCCGGCTGATCCCTGGGGCAGCGCGAGTTCCTGCGATGTGGGGTGGGACAGGCGCAGTACAGCAGCCAGCGAGCTGCCTGACGTGGCCCAAGACGCTGTCAGGAAGCGGAAATGCATTCCAGTGTTGTATGGGGAAGGAGGCAAAGCAGGGGGAGGGGGTCTAAATTCATTTGGGGCTGGGGGCAGGGTGAAGAGAATGTTAAAATGCAAGCAAGGAGACATGAACCAAATTTGGTTGGTCTCAGGAACTGTGAAGCTGCTCCTGTACGGCTGTTCAGTTCCCAGCTGTGGGCTCCTGTTGAACCATGGTGTGGCTTTTGGGTCGGTCCCCAGTGTGCTGCTCCAAAGCAGCTGTTTGTTACCTGTGCCAGCTGCAGAGGCTGCACAGGCGGTTGCTGATGAGAGCGAGGGTAAGCACGCTTTCTTTGTCCTCTCTTTAGATGCTTTTGCTCAGCCATTGTGGGAAACAGCTAGTGCGTGGCAATGCAGCAATAAAAAGGCTAGGCAAGGAAAGCCAGAATGCTAGGGAAAAAAAACAGCTTGTTGAAACTATAACAATGTCTGTTGGGCTATACCCCGCCCCAGCCCTGTCAGCTCTCTTCTCTGTTAATGTCTGCCTCTCAGCTGGCTGGACCTGCAACAGCAGCCTGCACAGAGCTGCCCGAGCGACTGCGAGGCTGGAGAACCACACCCGGGCACTGCTTCCTCCTGCTGCCTCCACCCTGGGGCTGCTCCCAAAGCCTTGCCGGTGTGCAGCTTGTGCCATCAGGTGAGAAGCGCACACGAGCATGGTGGGCAAAGGCCTGTGGCTGCAGTTGTTGCCTGCCTGCCTCTGGCAGGGGCAGCTTGGAGCAGGCAGGGTGCACGTGCGCTGCCTCGTTAGCCTCCTCTCACTGCTGCAACAAGGTTAGAGAACTTGGTCACAAGCCCACCCCCTGCCTTTCCTGTGTGCTGCATGCAGCTGCAGTTGGCACTAGTGCTCTATTTCCCTGCCTGCAGCCCTTTTCCCCTGCAGAGCTGGACTCCCACCTTGGGTCAGGTTTTGCGCGAATCCTGGTGTCTTGAGGATGGCACCGGTGGTGGGAGTGGGCTGAGAGCTCAGAGCCAGAGTCACTCTTGAGGCCATGAAATGAGCAGGAACCCCCTGCTTGTTTTCTTTTTGAAAAGTTAAACAACGGGGAAAAAAAGAAAAAAAAAGCTGTGTCTTTTGGCTGTTAAGCTGTAAGAACAGCTGTCAGCACTGCTTCCAGTGAAGGTACTCTAAAGGCTGCCTTAAATACCAACTCACATGCGGTAAGGCCTTCCCCCCACCCGTACATGAAACTGGGGTGTTGCAGCCTCACAAAGAAAGCCATTTCCCTTGCACTTCGTTTACCATTCTCAGCAGAGAAGTTTTTACGGCCACCTGCGTTCTGCTCCCTGCTGCTACAAGGGTTTAAATGCTTCGTCCAGGACCTTGATGGAATGTAAGTACAACTGCACCCTGTTGAGCCCCGCTGCAGTGAAGCCATGCGCGCCTCCTGCTCAGGGATGGGCACTGTTCCGCCCTGCAGCGCACACCCAGCCTCCCTCGGGCCGTACCCACGTGCCTTTTATCCCGCCTTGCAGTCGGATGGTGCCGTGCTCCGGCAGCGCACTCTGGCCTGCTGTAGCCCACGTGACTCAGCGTCACCACTGCCTCCCTGCTGCTTCGTTGCTGAAACTTTATCAGAGCATTGCAACATGTAACGGCTCTGGGGTTTGTTGGCCCCGCAGATACGCAAACACCTCTTCTGGTTTCAAGTCCTGCAGCTGGGGTGCTTCCTCTGTGCGCTGCATTACTGCACATAAGAGGACAAGCCCAAACACAGCCTAACAGATTACTTCAGGTTATCTATCAAGGCACAGAACCGGACAAGTCCTAAGCAGTAAAGGAACACCTGTTGGTGCTGATATTTTCATGGATTCTTCAGCTCTGCGCTCACAACTAGTTTTAACCTTAGGTGTGTAAAAGGACACTGCCATAGCAACCAGCTGCACAGATCCACCTGGGTGGGATTCACACAGAAAGCAGCAAGTGAGCGACTTTCCTGTGTGTCTAATTCTCTTCTCCCACAATAGTGCTAAGGTAAGACTGAATGGAAGTAGAACTACCGCATTTAAACAGGGACAAAGCAACTGAAACCTCTGAAAGAAAACATACCGCATGGTTCTGTGCTCAGAACACAGTGTAAAGCTCTCACTCACAAGGCATGACTTGGGGCCTTTTTTTTCCAAATTAATGAGAAAAAGCAACGGAGATTGTTTGAATGCTCTTCAAACGAGCTTGAGATCAACTGTAAGAAGCAAATACTGCTTACAAAGGAACGAAAAGTCATACTTCCAAATCCTGAACTAAACTTCTGATAGCTGTTTTTTACTGCTTAGCCCTGCATTTCCAACTACCAAAGCCTTTTTTTTTTTTTTTCTATGTGCACAATATTTTAAACTCTACACAGCTGCTTTCCAGCTTTAATGTGTCTACTGGGCACATGGACCATTACCTTTTTCCTAGCCAAGCTTTTTTTGGCTGCTTCTGAGATGTTTTCAGAGCAGCATCTCCAGCAGACTCCATTTTTCTCTTGCTAGCTCTCATCTGGGGTTGCAAATGGAAACAGGAAGCGAAGACATTTGTTCACCTAACCCACAACCAACCACACAGGAAAACGAAGCAGCTGAGCCAGCTCAGAGACCTGCCTGGATTGTCTGCAAGCCCCCTCCTTAGTGCTGGCAGTGACCCGCGCTGTGACAGCACCCTGTGTCTCCTTGCCCAGCACCAAGCGTTTTACCCTCCTGCGCTGTTCTGCTGCTGTGGGATCGCAGTGGATGCGGCCCAGAGGCCGGGCTGTGGGGCACTGCACGCCTGGGGCTCACAGCAGGGTGTGCGTCACAGCTCGAGCGCTGCTGCCACAGCGGGGAGGTGACAGGTGCCCAGCTTTGCTGCAAGAACAAATCTGACTACATGCTTGAACTGAGCCTGGATGCAATTGTTGAGCTGTCGGGCCTGCTCCCTTGAACTATCAGCCTGCTCCTGAGCCCTGCTGTAACTTACAGGAAAAAATGCCAAGCAGCAGAACACAATAAAATATTAAAGGAGCGAGCACTACTGATTAGAGCCATGCGAGGCAGGGCTGTCTAACGTGACCCCCTCAAGTCTTCCTCTAGGGGGTTTTAACTCTCCTATTCCACATGTCCAAACAGGCCAAGCTAAGAAGTTAGTGCAATTAACCAGGAGCTATGAGAACTATTTAGCTTTCTAGCTATGAGAATGGATCTGTTTAACAGGTGAAGAACCACCTCCACCTAGTGCATGTATCTCAAGCTACATACAGCGAAATCACTGCAGTACATAACATGCCTGTATCTCACTATCCTAATCACTCACTTGGACTTACACACAAATTCAGGAGGTTGGGGTCAAGATACTGCACTGTAACATTCCAGCATGGAATTCCATCACTTCCAGGAATTTGAGTCAGAGCTGTCTTACCTGGCTATTTGAAAGGCGAACGAGAAAACAGTTCCCAGTCTGTGACCTGGTAAAGATGTTCAACAGATGGGTGTGGTGTTTAAAAAACTTAGGTAGCTCAAGTATTTCTGCACAGTAAAAGCAAAACAGAAATATTTCTATCATCCACAGCTTTCCCCAGCCCTAATAAACCGCATTTTCCCCAAAGTTACTATTCCAACTACTCATTTTTGACAGTCAATTTAAAGGAGACTTACCACACCAGGAGAAGTGTGTTTAATGCAGACATTGGAAAAGTTTTGTAGGAATGCACAGATCAAGTGACAAAATACAGACAGCAGAAGGCAGGTTCATTAGTCTTCCACAAGAGAGATTGCATGTGGTGATGCTACACTCTTCTAGCAAGCAAGAACTGATTGAATTTTAGTTCGATCCACTCAGCATTAAAGGTTGTTGCATAAAATTAGCCTCCACAGAATCAAGAAACAAGTTCAAACCATTGCATTTCCAACCCTGAAAGACAGCCAGAATGTTTTTTCACTGCTGCTTGCTTCATTGCAGTGAAGGAATGATTCCTCTGTTCAGCAGCAACAAATTTCCGTAATTAATGTTCATCCAGCCCTCCCTTACGCACGAGAAACAAGGGCTCTCCTGCACGCACAGAGCCTTCTTGAACAGTGTTCGAGTAGGTCTCATCGATCCAGACACCGCTTTTGAGCAGCTTCTGAACACACGTTCCTTAGAAGGTTGATCACAGATCTCGGATCTGCGCTCCTCATAATAGCACTGCCAGATACAATCATATTTGCACCTGCCTGGAAGATATTAAACACCCACTCAGTGACACAGAACAGACCCGTTTCTTAAGACTTTTCTTGCTGCAAAACACACAAGGAGACAGCAGCTTGTAGGCTGATGAACAAATGAGCACTACCTGCAGGACAGTAGTTCTATCGTGCCTCTAACTACAGCTGCAAATTAACTTTGGAAAAGACAGCAGCTCCCCTCACAGCTAACTGCTTCACCACTGCTCCTGCTTAGCTGCGTGTACAACAAACAACTTAGGAGGGGCTTCGGTAGCCACTGTTAAAAAAGGCACAAATGATTTTGCTACTATGTCAGCTTTACCGTTCCTTCTGAAAATGACTGCTCAAAGGGCTTGTCCTCCTATGCCTTATTTTCTGAGGGATGACTGCATCTCTCAACACGCTGACCAGGAGCGCTGTGCTGTTTCAGCCCCTTACCTCTGCGCACTTGTGGATGGTGTCAGGCCCGACTCCTCCGTCCACTTCGATATCCAGCGATGGGAACTGCGTCCTCAGCCACTGAACCTGCGAGAGACGGCGTTAAAAGGCTGGCACTGAGAGCTGCGCCCAGCCTCTCACACTTTATGCTCACACACACACAAGGTTTATTCGGCTCCCTGCGTAACGTTTGGTTAACTTTACGCTCGGCAGACGGGAGGTGCCGCTTCACCTTTGGCATCATGTCTTCCATGAATTTCTGCCCTCCGAAGCCCGGCTCCACCGTCATCACCAGCGCCATGTCGATCTGGTTGGCCCAGGGCGCCAGCTGCTCCACCGACGTGCCGGGCTTGATGGCCAGGCCCACCTGCGGGAGAGGAGCCGCAGGGCGGCTGCAGGCCGTGCCGGGGGCTGCGTCAGGCGGCTCCGGGCGCCGCGGCCGCTCACCTTCATGCCGTTCTCGCGGATGTCCTTGATGAGCGCGCCCGGGTTGTCCGCGGCCTCCAGGTGGAAGGTGTACTGGTTGGCGCCCGCCACCGCCATCGGCTGCACCCACTGCTCGGGCCTGGCCACCATCATGTGCATGTCTGCGGGGCGGCCGCGCCGTCAGGGCGGCGCTGGAGCCGCGCAGGGCCCCGCGGCGCCCCGCGGCCGCTTACCGAAGAAGGGCTCCTGGCCCAGGCGGCGCCGCAGGCTCTCGACCACCGGGTGCCCGAAGGTGATGTTGGGCACGAAGTGCCTTGGGGCCGAACACACAGCGTTACCCCGCGGCGCCGCGCGGTCCCCCCCGGCCTCCCCTTCCCTCCCCTCCCCGCGTTACCCGTCCATGACGTCGAGGTGCAGGTAATCGGCGCCGCACTCCAGCAGCCGCCCGCACTCGGCGCCCAGCGCCGCCAGGTCGCCGTTGAGCACGGACGGCCCGACCCGGCACCCGGACGCCATCGCCGCCGCCCCGCGCAGGCGCCGCCGCCCAGAGGCACAGCGGGAGCCCGCCCACAGCCACCGCCACCGCCCCGCCTCAGCCCCGCCGCCATCTTGGCGGCCGCCTCACCCCGGCCCCTCCGCACACCCCCAGCCACACCACGGCACCTTTATGTTTTTCTGTCAGTAACACAGCACGCAGGCAGCTCGGTCCCTGCCATGGCTCACTGCTGTGGAGTCACCCATCACAGCGGCAACACCTTAGTGGCAACATTTATCACACACACTGAATTAAACCAAGTAAATCACAGCTATTTTCGCAGAGTACCACAGTAAGGTTGTCCACGTTTCGTTAAGGTGGATTCTCCCGTCTCATTTTCCACAGAAAAGGTCACTCTGAAATGCACCACAAATTCTGCACATGCAGCATCCCAGCTCGCCTCTAAACTCTCCTGCTCCCTGCCCGCCTGCAGCCCAGCCTACCTCAGGATTGGAAAGCAAAGCTGTGTTTTTTCTCATTTGTGCGTCACTGTTAATAATAAAACTTAGCATCTGGAATTTAGCAATTCTCTGAGCGACCTCCAAGCTAGGAGATAATCCAGAGCAGTCTGCCACAGGTAGCTGGCGCTGGCCCCAGCGTGCTGAGGAGATCAGCAGCAGTACAGCACGTCCTGGTCAGCAAAGCCAGCAGCTCCTCAGGCAGGAAACCCACTGAGCAGCAGAGCCCAGGTGCTGCCACCCAGTCAGCTCTCTTACAAAGCCCCGTATGCTTCAAAGTTGCATTAGTGCACCACCTATGGATAGATGGATGGATGGATGGGTAGACAGACAGATAAAGACAGACAGATACAGACAGACAGACAGACAGAATTTGCCTCCAGCGCAAAGGACGCAGCACATACTCAATGCCCCTGAGCCTGGGAGGAGGATGGCTTTTGCTATCATCTGCAGATGTTTGATGCGCACGAGTTCCCCCCTCAGACTGGTATACGCAGCTCCCATCAAATGTGAGCGTTTGGCGAATACCAGGCCGTGCAGCGCGAGGGCTCCATGGGTTGGAACAGGCTGAAACCTGCTGCCAGGTGCACAGTTAATTCTCCACACAACGGCAAAACCTGCATGCTGCACCACAGCAGTGAGACAGTCATTTGTATGGCAGTACTTTGAGCAGCGATTTTGGAGTTGTTGAAGAGGGATGCGAGTCCTTTCTTTGGAGATGGATAGGATATTGTTCCATCTCCACAGTAAGGCTGGTTTATGACGCATACGTTCAAATTACAAGCCCCAGGGGCCAAACTTGTAATTAGCACATTTTGCAAATTCTCAGGGTGATCTAAGACATTTTCCTCTGCACAATAATGCCACGATTACAAACCACAGTATCTAGCTCCTCTAATGTAAGCTGAAAAAGGCTTTATGTGAATCCCAAAGCACAGGGTAACTTTGGGCGTTGCTTATGATTTCATGGTTTGATTCACAGCTGTTGTGCAGTTTGTCTGTAAGCAGCTAATGGATAAATTCACATTTCAGTGTAATTCCATGATGCTGCAGCATAGCCCATAACTCAGCTGTGACGTCAGCTGATCCCCCGCTGGGATCACCTCCTAGGTATAAATGTACCACGTATACATCTAATACTTGCAGCCACCAGCGTGACGTACATAAAATGGAACCTTTGTAAATACAACCTCAGCATGCCAAAAATAGATTCTTTCATCAAGTTTCTGCCCTGCAATATCCATCTTCTGTTTACAATGTACATATATATTTATATTTTTATATATAGGAACATGAAAATACCATACATAAATATTTACTTTAAATCCCTATATATCTAAGCACGTAAGACAGCATCAGTGGAGCAGTTGCTAGGTACCGGAAGGTCCATGCATTCCAGATGTGGTTTCTTGTTGTTTTTTTAAAGCTATGGGGATGAATTACTCAGTACATTAAAGCAGGACAGAGTGGATTATTTATACCATCTGCAGACCACTCACCCCCTGCCCATCTATATCTGTGCGCAGCACGTGCATCCCTTCTTATGGTATGTACTGTATTTAGAGCAAATATTTTTGTAGCACAAGGGCAGGATCTTACAACGTGGAATGAAACCAACAGACAAAAGTAAACTCAACTAAAGGCTGCAGTGACAGAAAAAAAAAAAAAAAAAAAGAGGGGTGGGGTGGGGTATCTAATAGCTCCATGGTGCTTACCATTGCTCAGCAAGTTAGAAACAGTAGTCCCAGGCCTGTGAAAATCGAGCTTTAGATTGGTACTTTTTTGTCAGCATTTTCACTGTCAGTACCAAACTGTAAGAGCCTTGGATACAGCTGCTATATAGCCCTCCTCTCTAAAAAGCTACAAAAATAAATCTTGGGCACAGTCTCAAAAGAGGTTTCTCTTTCCTGTCTTGCACGGTACAACAGCCTGCTTACCCAAAGAGGCTGCTGATCAAAGTACATGGCTGCCAGATCAAGGTTTTGTGGACCACACATACTTGCCCACACCTCCTACCCTGAGAATTTTTTTAAAAATTCTCTGCTCCTACAGTCTTGCCCTGAACAGAAATAGATTTCGCAAACAGAAATTAGCTAGGCTACAGCAACAGGCTGTTAGCTATATTCTGCTTTTGGATAATAAAGTGCTCGTTTGAATTAGTTACTAGTTACCAGGGAACTTAAAGGAGAAAGTACAGTTTCCCTTCCTCCTCCCACTACTGCACTTCCCCAAGAGTTAAACGTGAGATTCATCTAGATCAACATCGGTCTCCCCAAGCTCCACGTGCGTGAAGCTGAAGTGAGTGGCCAGCAAGGGGTTCTCCATCCCGTTGTCCTCACTGATGTGCAGGACCGTGTCCCCGTGCTGCAGTAAGCTGGTGGTCTCAAGGCCAGCGTAGTCCTCGGTGTCAGAGAGCTGGGTGGGTGGGGTGCTTTGTGCTGTGGCTGGCCGGGACTCCAAACCCTCCTCTTTTTCCTTCTCAGTAGAAAGTGCCTCGCTCTGCAATTGAGGAGAGCCGGTGGTCATGTTCAAAGAAAAAGGGCGAGTGGGGCAAGAGCTAGGGAACACCTATAAAGCATTTTCTCATTCAGAACTACTTTGTAGCATTAAAGGGCCTTTTGCAGACTATAAATCCCCAAAACTCAGCCCTAACAATTATATTTATTATATTTTTTTGCTGGTGAATGAAATTTGTAACAATAACCAGAAAAGCTGTCTGCTTTCAATTAACACTTCCTCATTTTGTATTTTTAAGAAAGTTGTCTTATACTTGTTCATGTCAAAGTCCATACACCCAAAAGACACCAGATAGCTGGGGTATAAAAGTGACCACAATGCTACTAATGTGTTGAAGTGGCGATTGTGATTGTCTCTCACTGTGCTCAGTGGTGTCCAACAAAGAAAAATGTTGGACAAGCAGCTTCTTTTGAAATGTGATGCTTTTGCTAAAACAACCCCGAGTGAGCTTTCGAAGTAATCCTTCCTGGAGGACTCATTTCTCATACAACAAGCTGTAATTGCCAGATGATGAGAACTTACACAGGTCCAGAAAGACTTGTAGTTATGATGGAAAGATGCAGGGAATATACTTACAAATGAAGAATTACCGCAAAGACCGAGAAGCGAGTAGTTTATAAAAGTAGAGGGTAGGAGAGCAAATTCAGCCTTAAGAAAAGACGCTGCCTTTACTCACCAGCCAGCTTTTGTTATACTGCTGTAATGCAGCTATAAATATTTGCCCTGCAACTTCCATCAGCAAAGCTGAGATGAAGCCGTGGGCAGACACGGGATAGAACTGTGAGTGGTGTTACCTGGCCAGTGGCCTGGCTGTGGAGATCAGCTACAATGATGGCGGGCGAGGAAGTCAGCACGGGTTTACTGGGTGCTTCCTGCTTGCTGCTCCCCTGGGGGCTGCTGTGGCTGCAGCCCTGCGGCTGAGCTGCTGGAGCCGGGGGGTTGGCTGGGGACGGTGGTGTTGCCTCAGGCTGAGCTTCAGTGAAAGTCACCGACCGCTTCTGCTCCACTGAGGGGTACAAAGCCCAAGAAAGCAAGGTATTAAAATGCTATGATTTGGGAAGGAAAACACAGTAAGAGAGCAGAGAGCATCCCTAGTGTTTTTACAGCTAAACCAGGATTCGTGATATGTTCCATCTTTATAAGCTGTCTAAATGGTGCCTCATCTCACAGCCTTTTACTCCTAGGCTTCCAAGAGTCAGGGATCTCCTGAAGACTATTGACCCTACCTATCTTTGTTATGGCTTGATGAGATAAATATCACCCATAACATCATTCCACCACAGAATATAATGAACTGGATTCCCACGTGACTTAGGCATTTTTGCCTTAACTAAAAAAGGAAAACTGATCAAACACATAAGGGAGTTGCCCCGGGTTTTGCAGGAAAATCGGAAAAGAAAGAGGGCAGCTGATTACCCCTCATTCCTGCCACTGACTGAGCTCACTACCCGGCAGTAACAAAGAATATCACGGGTTGACAACAGCTAGACTAAAGCTTAACAGTAGAACAAATATCCCTGCTCCCACTCTTAATCATTCTGGTCTAAGTTTTATGTTCCAAGGATCTCCAGCAGCGCTGTTGCCCCAGCACAGTCCTGGCTGGAAACCCAGGAAGTTCTGAAGCAACCTTCGCTCTTCCAGGTGTTTCCTCCACAGTTAATTGCTCACTCCAGATATACGGAATAGAGCTACCCGCTCTGCTTGACAATGCTGACTCCTGGAAATACATTGCACGGATGCCACAAACTAGAACAGCCCCGTATTCGTTTCCATACACAGCCCTTAAAACTCAGAACTGTTAAGCTTGCAAATGATGGGAAATTTCCTTCTTTCTCCCACTGTTACTAGCAGCTTCAAGATTTGCACATCCAGAGTTTTTAGACAAGGCATCCTGAATGGAGGACACACACCCTAGATCCTCCACACTTTTAAGAGACACGATCATTGACTGCCCATGTCCAGTTTCACCTTGCTGGCCTTGAAAACATGAAAGTGTTTTGAGAGGGCGATTTTCTGATCCATTTATTAAGGAAAAGGATAAGCATGCTGG